GTTATAAAAATTTAGATTCTAGTCAGAAACTTAAAAACAATTCTCGCACAAAATTTATTTTGACTTGAGAGAATAAAAATGCATAAGTTTCTCTGTCTTTTAGGACAATGGGGGGTTTTCACCAAGATCTATCCATTTAAAATTTGGAAACTCCTTTATTGAATTTTTATCCAAAACTTTTTTAAATTATTTCTCGGGTTTCACGTAGAAGTTTGTTTGAAAAATACAATCACATCAGAATTAAGACAAAAAATCTGTTTGCAAATGCAATTGCCAAGAAAACAAATAATGTCCCCAAAGGGCTTGAGCTAAGCAGTAGCGTATTTAGCCTCCCCACTCAAAAAAAAAACAATTATCAACCCCTCTTTATAAAAATTATTGAAATTTATTAAAACTTGAAGAAGCGCGCTCTTCCAATTCTCTTTTCTACTTTGAAGAAGTTAATTTAGGATTTTATAATGCCCTGGTTTTGATAATCTGCACAATTTCCACTGAAAAGTCGGGAACAGCTATACAGAATTCGACAATCAAAGAAGATTAACATGCCTTAGAGGCTGGTTCTTCGGGGAATTGTACAATTAATGAAATTTCTGTTTCTAATCTGAATTCAGACAAAATTACACAGAGCAGCGCGGGGTATAAAAATAGCATTTCTACGATGCACACTGATTTTTAGTTTTAAATTATATTTTTGTCGGCTTTCAAAAAAATGCTGAAAGTTGGGCTAAAGTTGTTTTAGAGGTAATGATTTTTTCTAGCTTTAGAGTTTTTCTAGAGTTTTTATTTCTGCCTCAAATTTCTCGGATCTTATTTTTCAGAAAAATGATACAAAAAAATTGAATAACGCCAACAAAAGTGAAATAAAGTATGAATGAGCATGCCATAGCACCATTTTTTGTGCTAATTAAACAAAAATAATGAGTGAAACAATTAGTGAAATGAGTAATAATAGTTGATGTTTCTGCGAGTCGCTCAGACGAACTATGAAATACTATCAGGCCTGGCTAAGCAAAGTCTGTTTTGCACTTTTTGCCAAATTCCAGAGTGAGTTGTTTTGTTAAGCCAAGTTCTTTTTTTTGCGACTCAAGACGTTTTTTGCGTGGTGCCATTATGCAGCCGGAATTGGCCAGATTGTGGTAGCTACTTGAAGCTAGAGGTCAAGTGAGATATCGACTTCTCTCATTATTTTTGCCATTATAGGGGATCGAGTCTAAGTGCAAGCATTTCGACCCATTGCTGAAATTTCTCGGAAAACAAAAAATAATTGCTTCAAAATTCCGTCAAGTGAATAAATCACTTTTCGCGCTAAGCTTCATTGGTGCACCAATTTCGTTCTTTGATTTGTTTAGACATGAATTTTTGTCAAACGAGCGCTTCTTAATGAAATACTTCAAAAGCACTAATTGCAATTTGATCCCCAATTAAATGGACTTCGAAATTTGAAGTTGTGCCTGGCTAGGAAATTGAAGCTTAGTTCAATAGATCTCCACGGGCAGAATTTCAGATTTAACTAAATCTGAAGCGACATCGTCGAGCTTTTTTTTAGCTGATTAGTGAACTGAATTTCATGATTTATTCCCACTACTATATATTGTATGCTATAACAAGACTGTTCGCATCAGGGCACAACCTTGACAGTTCCAAATTCCCTTCAAACATCAATTTAAAAAATTGCTTCAAGTGTTTAACAAAAAACACAACAAAAATCAAATTTGCCAGATTCAAATTGATAGTTTCAGCGTCTAGTAACCAAATAATAACACAAAATTACTTGCCTCAATTCAGTTTGTAACGATACGATTATAAGCGGATTTATTAGCAGCTTACACGTTAATTGCATGAAACATCGCGCGCGTTAATTCTCTCAAGTTATCCAAATTGGCCGTTTTCAAACCCCAACAAGACTGCTCGTATCAGGGCTAAGCCCTGAATGTTCCGACTGCCTTTAAATGTTTAAGGAGCAGTAATAACCTATAAAAATAAAATGTAATAAAATAAAATGAAATTTTTTTTTCTAAAATTTGAATTTTTTTTAAATGAAATCATCCCCCACACGCTACATAAAGTACAAAAGGATAGATTTCGCTCCTTGTAACAAATCAATTATGGCAAAAAAGCTTCTTCCAACCAATTTGGAACGATTTCTAAGACGGATTATATCGCGCGTTAATTGTCCCAAATTGGCCATATTGGCTATCTTTAAACCCCCATAACTTTACGAAAAATGATCACAGGTGAAATATCTTTTCAAATTTAAGCTCAGGACAACAATACCTTTTGAATGATATAAAAAAGTTCCGTCAAAAATGGCTAGTTAAAAAGTCGAAATTTGTCTGAAGAAAAAAAACCCGAGCACAAATATTCCGTTACTTTCGTATCGAAAGTCGGAACAATAACTTTTCAAAAAACTAACACAAGTAAAATATCGATTCCAAAATGACTAGTTAAAAAATCGAAATGGGTCTAACGGAAAACACACCGCGAGCATTTGGATCGATTTAACTTGCCCCTTAAGCTTTATAAAATTGAATACCTTGCGCACCAATTGACCCAATTAGCCAAATTGAGAAATTTTTAAACCACGCTAACTTTTCAAAAAACAAACGATCACCGGTAAAATATCTTTCTGAATATGAGCCCAGAACATCTTTTTTTTCAGATGGTCCAAAACATTTGGCTCAAAATTTCTAGCTAAAAATTCGAAATATTCCGTTCACTTCTGAGACAAAAAAGTTATGTTTGAATGAAGTTAAATGTTAGCTCGCACCCCTTGAGCCGTTCTCTCATATATCAATAAAACATCGTAAGGTTTGTCCTTTTCAAAAAAAACTACTCGTATCAGAGCAACGCTCCCAATGTTTCGACTGCGCTTTGAGGTATAAGGAGTGTTTGCTTTAGAAAAACTCGAAACTTTGAAAAAAAAATTTTAAAATCCCCACATTTTATGTAGAGTACAAAGTGATATTTTGAACATGTAGCAAAATAAAAATTGAACCAAACAGCATGCTTCAATTTGATCAGGATAGATTTCTAAGACGGATTAAGCCTGCGCTTACGCGTTAGTACCACGAAATGTATCGCGTGTTACTTGTCCCAATTTGTCAAAATAGTGATCTTTAAACTCCATAAAACTTGGAGCAAAAAACGATCGAAGGAGAAACTTTTTTTGTCATTTTCAGCTCAAGACAAAAATACCTTTTCAATAATTTAAAAATCTATCAAAACATGCTAGTTGAAAAATCTTTTTTTTTGTCTGGAAAAAAACGCCCGAGCACATATATTCTCTCTTTCTGCGAAAGTTGGAACAATTGTAGCTAAAAGTTTTGTTTTGTTTTTCTGAAAGAAAGTTCATTTATCTAATTATGAATTCTCTTATAGATTTAAGTTAGTCATTTCTTTGATCCCGAGAATTCATGTCGGAATTTATGTCTAATGGCGGCAAACTTTTAGCAAAATTTTTTGAAACTTTGACAGTAGCAATATGTTTGTAAATTTTTGAATTTTTTCGTTTAAATTGACACAAATGATTTTCAGACTTCTCACTACAGTTAAAACCCTTTTTTTGCTAAAATTTTGTTTGCTGCGCATTTTTTTCGAAAACAAGCCAAATGCTGACGAGCAATTTTGCAAAAATTTGACTCAAAAAAATTGCGTTTAATGACCCGCGCTTCCCATTTGAAATTAGTATTAAAAATATTAAATGATGTCAAAGACGCTTGAAAAAATTATGGTTAGTTAGCAAAAAATGGATTGTTGTTCCTTTTTACTGTTAATGGGCAAATCAACTGTGCTGCTGGTTAGCCATTGGGTTATGATTCCCCCCTCAAACAAAATCCTCTTTAAATAATATCGGAAATTTCGTGAAAAATAATCAATAAATTTGCACTAAATTTTTGTTCTTGACCTAAAATCAGCAATTCAATCAGTTTTTTGTTTAGTTTCGTCCGCAAATTACAATGTAAAGTACATATTTGAGTTGCCGTTTAGGTTGATTGATTGCAAGGAAACTTAAAAGGGTCAAAATTAGGGAAACTAAGTGACTGGTACGCTAATTGCCATAACAAAGCTCCTAGACTGAAAAGAAAAGAAAACACTCTCTTCCAAGGAAGCTTTAACAAAACGTATAGGGAGCTTATGCGGCTTCAAAATGTCAAAAAAAGATTAAAAACCAAAAGACTTTTTAGTGCATATTAGGGAACACTTACTTATTATCATTCCGATTTAAATTAAGCATAGATTTGACCATTATTTTTTGCTAAATGCTAAATACGCCTCTTCGAACTTTACAAGGCGCGTGGGGCATGATTTTTAAAACAAATCTGAAAAAAAAAACAGTTTCGTTATTTTTTTCTAAAATTTGGCAGAAACAGGGTCTTTTTAATGCTTTGGCACAGCTCGTAAAACTAAATTGGTCGATCTAAAAATAAAATGACAAAATCTTTATATTTTTTGAAAACCCGCCCCCTCGAGAAAATCCTAGATCCGCCCCTGCCTGATAGGAGCAGTTTTTTTTATTTTTTGGTTCTATTTCCGGCGCTCGGTGTAATTTTTTCAGATAAACTTTTTGTTAGCTATTTTTAACAAAATTGAATTTGACCACATCCAAAGATATCACTATCCTAGTCTCCGAAGTAATTAGATATTACTTTTGATTTTTTTTTTCTGTGTTAATTGGAATTAAAGTTGCCTCAACGAAAGTTAATGGGAGCGAAGTTTCCAATTTTCTGTTAACGCTTAGGGCCGACCACGAACTACCTCGGCTCAGGTTCAATTCCAAATTGAATCGAGGCAAGCTAATCGATCCGAATACTAAGTCAGAAGTATACAGTTGTACTTAACATTGCGGGAAGGCCTCCGAAAATAGTCTTGTAGCTTTGGTTATAAAAAAAACGAGTTATAATTTGAAAATTTCGATTTAAAAAAAAACTGGTGTCAAATTAGTTACTTTTGGTGTTTAAAAATATAGTTTGTAATTTGGTAAATTTGGTTTGTAATTTCAGAGCGATTTCTCACTGAAGGTCTACTTTATATGACTCTATCGCTCTACGTATGCTGCGCTGTGGTCATCATTTTTCTCTACACCAGCGTTTTTGTCTCCGTTTTCCGACAGGCGATAAAACGACGCAACTTGCGAAACCGATCAGCCATTCAAAACACGAACGCGCTCGGAGCAACAGTTCAAGCAGTTCGTGATCACGTGACTGCCCGAACCGGGATGATGTTATTTCTAGTCACTACAGTTTTCATCCTGGCATGGACCCCTTATTGGACTATGTATCTACTAATGTACAATTTCCCTGCAACCATTCCGATTCTGGTGGAAAAACACGTTATGAACTTATTTGGAAGCTCATACTATATCAACAATGCAGTCAACCCGATTATATACACCTTCGTGAACAAAACTTTCAGAGATGAGATTGTCTCCATTCTGAAATGCCAGCCCCAAAGGGGCCAAGGGGGAAGTCTGGTTTCCCAGAAAACCGGTCAAAACGGAGAGCTGAACGGCCGCGGCAGTCGAATCGCAAAAACAATCAACACTGCCAACGATACTCTATGCTGAGACTCGGGAAAAAAACCAACTGATTTTGTCAACCAACACCCCCCCCCCCCCACCTTATTGCAAAAGGAGGATTTGCTGCAACGTTCGAAATTATTATATGGTTAACTGTTATACTAGTCCTTGATAAGGAGAAAAGTTTTATACTAAAAGGCTATAGGGTAGGGGGTATATAACAAGTTCCGAACTTATAGATCGAATGTGCGTTTCATCATTTCGCCAAGACTGATTGCAATTAAGGAATCATTTTTCGATTTCTCTAACCAATTCACTATTTTTTCCAAAAGGATGACTTAATTTTTCTAGGTGCAAAATTGATGTATGTTTAACCGTTAAGTCAAAGTATCACGTGATTTGGGAGCTACTAAAGAGATCCAAAATTTAGACACGATCGAGTATTGCCATCTTTTCTCACCGACAAAAAAGTCACAATAATCTGACTTGGTTTTGTCGGGTTAAAAATATTCTGCCCATAGATTATTTTCAATCGATTAAATGTAAATATCTAGATCTACAGAAGATGAATTTTCAAACTAAATTATTGTTTATATTGTTGCGTTTTACGTTAATAAATTTCTTAAAAACTCCTAGATATCAAAATGTATGTATACGAATTGTAGTTTTCAAAGTTGTCGTGAATTTGCATGCCAGTGTATTGTACAATTTGTTTGCTGAATAAATGTTTTACTTTTCAAAATAAATTGATCCAAAAAATCAAAACATATTTTACTCTTTGCTCCAACTGAGGTTGCGATGTTCATTTTTTTGTCAAGTTATCCCTAAAAAGCGTCCAAATTTTTTCAACCAAGCAGCCAGTGATTAGACAAAACTAACCAATAATAGTGTGCGAAGTAAAGAGAGTTCCCAGCTCTGGTTAAATTATCACTCAAAAACTTTAGGTTTGCAACTGTTTTTAAAAAATTGTTGGCAAATTTTTTCATTAGTAGTTCAATAAAAATTACTTTTGAGACAAAAATTTAAGAAAATATAAAAGTGTGATAATTTTTTGAACTTGCGCCATAATTTGAGTCTCCAACTAATCCATATTTTTGGCAAAACTTTTAATGCAATTTTAAGAGGGCACTAAATTATGGCTACTTTTGAGATAGATTAAGACAGCCTAAAGTTAAAAGGTTTTACTGACAATCCAGGTTGACCAAAAATGCTTATCATACAATTCTCATAAATAGGAAATTTCTTGTCATACATTTCCATACAATTCCATATGTACAAAAAATTGTATGAAATCTCTATAATAAACTCTCTATAATAAACATTTAATGGAATTTGTATGACTAACATTTTTGCCAAAAATGGGAAATTGTATGACGAAAAATTTGTCATTAATGAGAACTGTATGACAAACAGTTTTCGCAAATTTTTTTTCAAATGCGGCACGAATTACATTAAAGCCCATCTAATAAGCCGTGCAATCTCTGAACAGAAAAAAAAACCTGAGAAAAAAAGTTTTTTTTTAGAAGTTGCAACCTCAGTTTCTTAATTTTCTGCAAGAAATCTTCTCAACTGTTTAGATAGCAGCACGGTCCTAATTTGATCCTAAGGGGGCAATACTGAAGAGATGGTTACCTCAAAAAAACTATTAAAAAACCTTTTTTTAAAAAAAAAAACCTTTATATCTGCGTGAAATATCTCCGGCAAACCTTCTGCAGTTCGGTAATCACATCGTGAATCCACAAGCTTTAACATCCACAAATTCATTTCTTCTGAAAAAGAACTTTATAAATATTATAAAAAAGAGGCGAAGCTGCAGCTTCGCAAACACGAGCGACAAGACAGCAAACCTCCAGGAGCTTTAAAATGCCCAAAAAGTCAAATTTTGCATTTACGAATTTGGATAAGCAAACCATTTTCGAGAGAAAAAAAATTAAATGAATGTCTATTTTTTCAATCTTAATTGCTTCTCTTTTACTTGGATTTGAACGGATTTATTTGCGCATTTTCTTCTCATCCTTTGAAAAAATGCTACCAATTCATTTGAAGTTTCCAAAACCTGGTTTGCAAAAAATTTCGAAAAAATTATCCCTTCTGGGGAAAATGCTTGTCATACAATTTTCATACATGGAAACTGTATGGCAAGCATTTCTTTTGAAAAAAAATTTAAGTCAGTTTGTTTCCGTTACCAGCCTGTTCAACTGTTATCAAAAAGCCGCAGAAAATGTTCAATTTTTATTTTCTATTGTTTTTCGAAAATGTATGAAAACTGTATGACAAGCATTTTCTCCATACACTTGATGTATGGAATTGTAAGAGAATGATCTTTGTTGTATGGAGGTCAACCCGGGAAGCTTTGTTGAGTTATCAGTTTCAGTGGGTTTTTACAGTCGCATTCTGGGAATCTCGATACTCGTCAAAAATTGAAACTTTCTTCCGCTGAAAATGACGTTGACAGAGGAATGCCGATGTCACCGCAAATGGATATTTGATCCCTACTACCTTAATTTAATCTAAGAAACACCGTTTTTCCACTTTGAACAGATGACACTTGTACTTTGCATAGATAGGAATGCTAATGCAGTCCATATTTGCGCAGGGGGGAAGGGTTTCAACCTCTTTCAACTGCATAAATGTGTAGGATTCATAGGCACTTTTCCGCCGCCGAAAGATTTAATTAGTCTGAGAAATGGAAATAGAAAAATAAACATTTATGCTGAAAAAAAAATAAAATGAGAAATACAACAAGGGTAAACATGTAGTTTTTTTGCCACAAAAATGTAGTTAATGACGCACCATTAACTTCTGAATTCACAAGTTTTTTTGCTTTCAATCATCATGCCCAATTAATTTTAGTGTTTGATAATCAGTTTTGAAGATATAATCAAAGCAATTCCAAGACAGAAAAAAGTTATTTTGTTGTCTGTTTTACCAAATCAAATGCGTAACAATCAATATACCGTAAATATGCCCAAATATACATATCAGACTTGTTAATCTAAAAATTTTGCATAGAAAATAAAAATGGTGATAACAGTAGCGGTATTAGGGGGGGGGGGCGCCCTTTTCCCTCAGGCATTCGCCCCTGACGACCCAAAGGGTCCATCCTTTGGTGCTATTTTAACACCTCCATTCTGGACTGACCGAACCTAAATTTTTCTGAAGACGCCTTTGGCGCCAAAATATACTAATTTTGATTGAGGAGCGCGCCGAGAAAACGCGATTTATCAGTCAAGATATTCCAAAAATTGCCTACAAAGGCAAAAATTGTCTGCTGCGCCGAAAATTTGGTCGAAATAGGGTATTTAGAGTAATTTGGGAGAGCTCGAAAAATCAATTTGGTCGACCTAATAAACCCCCCCCCCCCTCAAGATTAGTACAAATAAGTTTGCATTTATGATGAAAAAAGGGAAAAATTTTTGAAAATTTCAAGCTAGATAATAGAATGCTTTGTGTCAACTATTACGAGAAATCAATGTAATTGTGGCGCTCCCGTAGCGATGGTGCTCAGCAATCATATGATTGCTGGTTCAAATCGCACGTCCGCTGCAGTTTGTAAGGTGAGTTCTTGTAAGTTAGCCATATCCTACGATGGGCACTGGTTATTTGCGCTCTTCGTCAACCTAAACACTTAACCTTCGGCTTAGGCCTCCGGGCTGGTTGACTAAGAAAATGAAACTGAGCAAGTTAAAAAGACGAGTAAGGTTTTTGGTTGAAAAAAATCGACATGTTTTTCAAATAACTACAAGTGAAGTATATTTTTAATTTAGAACTAAAGTCAAATACGTCAAATATTGTTAAACAAAATCCTACGTCAAATATTGTTAAACAAAAAATGGATTTTGGTCTGAACAGAAATTTAGTCCGTTGTTTTCTAGGAATATCCCGCAGAGAAGCATCGCAAATTGAGTTTGAAGTGGCTTCTTCTTCTGGCTGATTCGTCAACAATCACGAATCAGTCAATTGAGAAGACAGACAATTCTAATTGAGAAGACAGACTAAAATTTTTTTTCGTTCTGCTACTAATGAATAGTTGCATCTATTTCTGTACAAATAATCGGTTCAAGTTGCTTCAAATTAAACTCAGGGAATAATACGCAGTTCAATTTTGCAGGCGATTACTGAAATTTAAGCTCACTTACAGGTGCTTTATCTGATTGACGCATAAATCTGATTTCTAAACCGATTAGAGACACATTGTTAAGTCGCCATATTTTCTACTCCAACCACCTAACGCGACATAATTTATCCCCGTTTTTTTCTGTTCTATTGTTAGTTTGCTTTTCTGTTTTCTTGTAGATTTCATTCGCAACACAACATATTTTGAGCATGACCCAGCTGCAAATCTCGTATTAGGATGCAGCCTTCAGATTTCCGACTGCCTCAGAAGCGGATCTAGGTTTTTCTCGAGGGAGGATTTTTTTAGGTCGGCCTATTTGATTTTCAGAGCTCTCTCAAATCACTAAAAAGAGCCTACTTTGGCTGAATTTTCTGCTCCTCAGGCAAATTTTACACAAGCAAAAATATGCTCTAGTGGGGAAAACTGAATGAGTATAATTTTGAGTCTTCAAAACTTCTTAAGTGACGCACCCCAATTATGAGTCTACATAATTGCTAAGTGACGCAAGCCAATTATGACGCATTAACACTACCAGTCAATTTAAAAAAAATTAGCAACTAACATGCCTCAATTTAAAGAGCTGACACATTTGAACTAGTATACGAAAAAGGTCCAAAATTATCCAACACTGCCCAGGGTTAGAACCCTCTTATTTTGTTGCTGTTCTCCTTCCTTACCTCTACGCTACAGATCCATGATACCTTGAAGCTAAAGCGCTATTTGTAATATCATAGTCTCTGTTAATATCATTGGAATTGGCTGTACTTAATAGCGGGTTGTTGATCAAAATGAAAACTTTCAAAAAGAACACCTTTTTCTCGTAACAATATTTGCGCCGCAACAATTTTTGCCACTTAGGTTGGAAAAAAGAGAGTTCATTGTACGACACAAGCTTTGCTTATGTAAAAAGAAACAAGAGGTCAAAAAGGTATTTTAAAGCACTTTTTAAAAAGTTTTGACAAAAAAATGCGTTTTGTTTTGGCGCTCGCTCTTCCTCGATGTTAGTAAATATTGGCGCCGAAAGCGCTTTTAGAAAACATTTAGGGCTGAATATGATTAACCAGGGGCGGATTTAGTGGGGGACGCTTCTTCCTCTTCAGGGATTCGACCCCCTCACCCATCGCTACTTTTTTATGACATCCAATTTCGGCAGCCCAACGTCTAAATTTTTCTAAACGCGAATTCGGCGCCATTATATACTAATTATGAAGGCAATCGCGCACCATAAAATGCGATTTTTTGTCAAAATTTTTCAAGAGTTGGTCAAAGACAGAATTTCTGACCTTTTTTCCAAAAACTTAACTGCGGCACAGAAAATTAGTCAAAATAGGGTCTTTATAGTGTTCTGGGAACGCTCGGAGAATCAATTTGGTAGACCTAAATGGAGTCGACAAATTTTTTTTTGCATTATCGCTAGCTGGAGGCATGCTTTTATACTTGTAAAAAAAACTGCGATCATAAAAATTAGGTTTTAAAATTAATTCTCTCTTGTAAAATGGCTATAAAAGAAAAAATTGTTCACTAAATATTTTCCGCGGGTGTTTAATAAGTACTGAGAAGTATTTATTGAGCAGAAAATACGC